AGTTTCTTTCATTTCTCCTTCCCTAATTAACCATCTTTTCCTAATTCCTACACCATGAACGGTTTTTTAAATTTTTTTTAATTTAATTTCTAATTTTTTTTAACTTGTAAAAGATTTATTTATGCATTTGTGGCTATGCTGGGTCTTTGCTGTTACACACAGGCTTTCTCTTGTTGAGATAAGTGGGGGCTACTCTAGTTGTGGTGCACAGTTGCTCCTCAGCATATGAGATCTTTCCGGACCAGGGATCAAACCTGTGTCCCTTGCGTTGGCAGGCGGATTCTTAATGACTATACCACCAGGGAAGCCCTCTGATCTTTTGCCCACCTTTTGTCTTGTTCTGGCCTGGAAAGAAAACGCTGTTGTTCAGATATCTGACATTGCAAATAACGGTAATCCAACTGGCTCAGTCAGTTAAGATGCAATGCAGGACACCTGGGTTCAATCCCCAGGATGGGAAGATCCCCTGGAGAAGGAAATGGTAATCCACTCCAGCATTCTTGCTTGAGAAATCTCATGGACAGAGAAGCCTGGCGGGCTACAGTCCTTGATGTCATAAGAGTCAAACAGCTGAGCACCTAAACCTACCTAACCTCCAGATGACTGTTGGATTTGTTACCATGGTGGTGATTCTGTAGTTTTTCCTGTCACAAACTTACCCTGATTTCCAATGCCTCAGTTTCCCTGGAATGAACTCAGCCCCCTCTGTATTGTATCAGACAACCTGACCTGGGTTGGGGGTTCCATTTCCCTGTCTTATTTCCTGCCTCTGGTCTCAAACTCTGTACAAAAAGACAGACTGAATAAATATGCCTGTGTGGCCTCCAGACCCTCACATTTTCTTAATCTCCATGGCTGATGCCTTTCCAGCCCTGAGACACAGACTCGAGTGAGATTTATCAGGAAGCATTCATGATTGAATATTAGCTTCCTAAGGCAGATTACTACTCTTCCAGGTAGTAAGTGCAAATGAGGCTATGATCAGGAACCTCTCTCAACTGTTAAAAGTATTGCAGGATCTGGGGACTTCCCTGGTGGTCTAGTGACTAAAACTGTGCTCCCAATGCACAGGGCCTGGGTTTAATCCCTGGTTAGGGAACTAGATCCCATATGCCACAATGAAGAATAAATATTTTTTTAAAAAGGGGGGGATTGCAAGATCTTCTGTTAACACTATGGCTGAAAGCCTGAAAGTGTTAGTCACTCAGTCATATACGATTCTTTTTGACCCCATAGACTATAGCCCACCAGACTCCTCTGCCCATGGGATTCTCCAGGCAAGAATGCTGGAGTGCATTGCCATGCCCTCCTCCAGGGGATCTTCTTGACCCAGGGGTCAAACTTGCATCTTTTATGTCCCCAGCATTGGCAGGCAGGTTCTTTACCCCTGGCACCACCTGGGAAGCCCCTACCCAACAAAAATCCTTAGGCTCTCTGGACGGGTTGTTCTTGATAATAAAAGGGCCACTGATTATCTTTTAGTTGAACAAATAGATGTCTTGTGCTGTGGTCCAGAACACTTGAGACACTTGGATTAACTCTTCTGGGAAAGTTGAACGTTACCCGAGCACGAGATCTTTGAGCAAGCCACGTGGCTTAAGAAAGCGACTCTTTCAGTGGAGTCTTTCCTTGACTTATTTGATTTTGACTGATTTAGGTCTTGGAGACCACAGCTTTAGGGTACGCTCTAGGGATTGGGAATTATCTGGTTTATGATAATCATAGTAATCTCTCTGGTGTGTTGTAGCCTCTCAAAATCTTTAACCGCATATTCACAGCTACTAACCCCCAAGCAAATGATCTCCCTAAGACTGGAATATCGGGAAAGGAGCAGAGAGGGTGGGAAGAATTGGGAGGTTGGTACTGAAATACAAACGCTACTGTGTATAAAACAGATAACTAATGAGGACTTACTGTACAGCACGGGGACTCCATTTAATACCCTCTGGTGACATGAAGGGGAAGGAAGTCCAAAGGGACGGGTTGTATGTACACATGTGCTTGATTCATTTTGTTGTATGGTAGAAACTCACACAACATTGTAAAGCAACTAAATGCCAATAAAACTTAATTTAAAAAAAAAGGAACAAAGAGAATAACCCCCCCCAAAAAAAGCGTGAATCAAAACCCCTGACCCCTGAATACCACAGAGATTCTGCAAAGAACATCATGATTTGTGATTACCATGGCACATCATGACCTGTGCATATCACACCGAAGATCAGCAAAAACTCCAGAGTGGCAGCTACAAGTGGCCTGAAATGTGTATCACATCTCTTGGTTAAGTCGAGTCTCTGACCCAAAGTGGAAAATTGTCCAAAGAGACAATGATCCCAAAATGGAGTCACTTGCATTAAGTCCATGTCACCAGACGGATTTAATATCTTAACTTGCTTATAGCTTCAACTTCTCCCAGGCATAGAATATTAAACCAGTCAATCCAGAATTACCTGGTCCTCTGCCCTCCCTTAATGGAAGGGGACCATGCCAAGAGAAATCCACTCTTTTTTTTTTTTTTTCCTGACAAAAGACTTTTATTCTGTGGTTCCAGCCCTCTGGATGAGCTCATTACATGATTGTATTAAATGTAATTCAGTGATACCTCATCAGTGAGGGCCATACTGTTTGCGACCCCATGGACTGTAGCCCGCCAGGCTCCTCTGTCCATGGGATTTCCCAGGCAAGAATACTGGAGTGGGTTGCCATTTCCTTCTCCAGAGAAATCCACTCTTATTTAGTCATTTTCTTGGCCCATCTCCTTCTGCCTGTGAGAGTCTTTCATTTTGTATAGCCCTCTGAGGATCTTTCTTCCTGCTTGATGGGATGCTGCCCAATTCGTGAACCACTGAAGAGAGTCAATAGGATCTTTCAGTTTTACTCAGTTGAATTTTTATTTTTTTTAACACTTTTAATTCATGGCAACTTATAATCTTCCATTTATGGCAATGGGTAACATTTTCTTCTTGAACAATTGCATTAAAACAAAAAGAATGAATTCATTTAAGAAAAATGCCTGGGCTTCCATGGTGGCTCAGTAGTAAAGAATCTGCCTGCCAATGCGGAGGATGCGGGTTGGATCCGGGAAGATATCACAAGCTGTGGGACAACTAAGCTCGTGCACCACAGCTACTGAGCCTGTGCTCTAGATCCCAGGAGTCGCAACTACTGAGTCCATATGCCACAACTACTGAAGCCTGCGTGCCCTAGAATCCATGCTCAGCAACAAGAGAAGCCACCACGATGAGAAGCTCAGGCACCGCAACAGAGAGTATCCCCAGCTCTCTGCAACTAGAGAAAAGCCCAAACAGCAACAAAGACCTAGCACAGCCAAAAGTAAATAAATAAAATTATTTAAAAAAACCACAACAACTGCTCATAATAGTATATAGATGGTGTGCTGCTATGGCTGAAAGTGTGATGTTAGCATGAGAATAACAGGTTCCAGAAACATGGTGTATGTCTAGGCTGCATTGAAAATTTTCATAGGATTCTAGTTCATAGAGTGTTGATCCAAGGTGGATGAAGACCTCACCTCACCCATAGCCACCCCCCACCCCTTTTTCATAAAGGACCTCCAAAGTCACCCTGTGGGTTTCCCGGACCTCTGGTCCCCTAGTGCAGTGCTGCTCACCTTGAAGGCCATGCCCGATTAATCCCATCATTAATTAATACAGCCCAGTGAATGGTCCAGGAGAACATGAGCTCAGACTTGTCCAGTGCTTGTTCTGGGAACTGCTCTCCATGGATATGTTGAGTGAAGTGATGGAGGTGGCAGGAGGTGGGGGTGGCTGATTTGGAGTTTAGAGGGGTCTTCTCTCCTAAGACCTGCCGAACTACTTAAGCATTAAGTCCAGTCTAGGATTTTATTCTTCAGACTATATAGTTTTATATGGGGAACTTGAGTTTCCCAAGTTAAAAACATAGTTCTATCAATTGCAACTGAATCAGTTTACAGCTGGTATGATCCCGGGAGATGGCACAGGTTGAGCAAATAGAGGTTTGGTTTGAAACCTCATCTATTTCTGCAGAGTCTTCCTGAGCCAGGAGTGGGCCAGCTATAGGCTGCAGCCAGATACATCAAGGTCTGGGCACTGCTGTCCATGTTTGCAGAATTGTGGGTGTCACAGTAAGGCATGTGTTAGAACAGGGGGACTAGGAGAATAATTCATCCTTACCTTTTATATTTGGCTAATGCAGAATCCATCTGGCTAATGCAGCTGGATGAAGCACAAGCTGGATTCAAGATTGCTGGGAGAAATATCAATAACCTCAGATATGCAAATGACACCATACTTATGGCAGAAAGTGAAGAAAAACTAGAGAGCCTCTTGATGAAAGTGAAAGAGGAGAGTGAAAAAGTTGGCTTAAAACTCAACATTCAGAAAACTAAGATCATGGCATCTGGTCCCATCACTTCATGGAAAATAGATGGGTAAACAATGGGAACAGTGGCAGACTTTATTTTGGGGGGCTTCAAAATCACTGCAGATGGTTACTGCAGTGATGAAATTAAAAGACACTTTCTCCTTGAAAGAAAAGTTATGACCAACCTAGACAGCATATTAAAAAGTAGAGACATTACTTTGCCGATGAAGGTCCATCTAGTCAAAGCTATGGTTTTTCCAATAGTCATGTATGGATGTGAGAGTTGAACTCTAAAGAAAACTGAGCACTGAAGAATTGATGCTTTTGAACTGTGGTGTTGGAGAAGACTCTTGAAAGTCCAAGGAACTGCAAGGAGATCCAATCAATCCATCCTTAAAGGAAGTCAGTCCTGAATATTCATTGGAAGGACTGAAGCTGAAACTCCAATACTTCGGTCCCCGATACAAAGAACTGACTTATTGGAAAAGACCATGATGTTGGGAAAGACTGAAGGCAGGAGGAGAAGGGGATGACAGAGAATGAGATGGTTGGATGGCATCATCAACTCGATGGACATGAGTTTGAGTAAGCTCCAGGAGTTGGTGACGGACAGGGAAGCCTGGCATGATGCAGTCTATGGTGTCTCAGAGTTGGACACAACTGAACGACTGAACTGAACTGAAATGAATGCAGCATCCTGGGGTCTTCATAGTCTAAGAGCCAGGATTGAATTACAAGTTGCAAAGGCCAGCTGAACAGGGAATAGGGCAGAATGGCTATGACTTAACCACTGTGTGTGTTGGGGGGGGGGGCAGGTGCACATGTATGTATAAGTAGTAAGGCACACACGTGTGTATGAGAGCTAAGTGATTAGAAACAGGCTTGTTGTCTACTTTGGAAGACAGCCTGGATCGTTCAGTGTGGACAGAGACAGGAGTGTTTTTTATTAGGGTACTCTTTAGAACCTATGTATCTTTCCTGGTGAAAGGGAGGAGCCCCAGCCCAGGTTGGTCTTTGTAGAAGCAGTCACGTCTTGGGGCTGACTTCGCTGCGGTCCCAAACTCTCACCCCTCACTGGTCTGCCATTGCCAGAATGAGTGCCGATGAGCATCACGTTTAGAACTTGGGTCTCCAGAAGGTTCATTTCAGCCACAACCCATGATCTTGGCCAAGAACCCATCAACTTTTCTAAGATTGTCATGTGGTTTATAGTTGCCCAATCCTTCCCTGTGTCAGCATTTCTCTGGCCTGGACCAGGTCAGTTTTGACAATTGATCGTTGGAAAACAGTGCACGCGTGTAGAAGGCAGAGCTGCCTCTTCAGTCTGCTGCCCTGGAGACAATCCCTTTATTTCTGCTCCATCTCACTCGCAAGGAGCCTCATACCTCAGGACTCCGGTTCCCACGACGTTTAGAGCTGGGGCTGTAACATTGTGCTGTTGTAGTTCAGTTCTCAGCTCTTCCTCTTACTTACTGCGTGCCTGTGGGCTATTTCCTTGTCCTCGCTGAGCACTGGGAAATCATGATAGCAATTCAAGGGTTGATTTTGAGAACTGAGTGAGATCCTGCATACACACCCTCCACACGGCGCTTCCCACACAGTGAGCTCAGTGAATAGTTGTCATGTGAATGTCTGAATGAATACAAATGGAACATGCAAAGAAGTAAAAACACATTTAGCCAGGACATGGCTGTTGCATACAGAAATCCAATATCTAACCTTCCAAATTTTTTCCTACAAAAGATACATACTTCTTATTATGTGAATGAAAGTCACTCAGTTGTGTCTGACTCTTGCGACCCCCATAGGCTGTAGCCCACTAGGCTCGTCTGTCCAGGCAATTTCCCAGGCAAGAATATTGGAGTGGGTAGCCATTTTCTTCTCCAGGGGAATCTTTCCAACCCAGGGATTGAACCCGGATCTTCTGCGTTGCAAGCAGATTCTTTACCATCTGAGCCACCAAGGAAGCCCAGTTTTCCTTATTATAATGGGATATTATGCATGACTAAGTTTTGAAAATATTTCTTTATTGAAAGATAATCCACACACCATGAAATTCATATTTTAAAAATTTATTTACTTATTTATTTATTTATTTTGGCTACACCATGTGGCATGTGAGATCTAAGTTCCCCCACTAGGAATTAAACCTGCTGCCACTGCACTGGAAATGTGGAGTCTAAACCACTGGACCACCAGGGAAGTTCAAAATTCACCTTTTAAGGCTTACAGCTCAGTGGTTTTTGACTATATTCACAGAGTTCTGCAACTATCACCACTATGTAATCCCAGAACATTTTCATCATCTCAAAGAGAAGCCTCTACCCAGTAGCACTCACACATCACTCCCCGCCCCCCAAACCCCAGGCCTGCAGCAACCTCTGAACTACTTTCTGCCTCTATGGCTTTGCTTAATCTGGACATTTCATATAAATAGAATCATACAATCTCTGTCCTTTCATGTCTGGCTCCTTTCATTAGTGTAATATTCAATATTTTCAAGGTTCATCCCTGTTTAGCATGTACCAGTACTTCATTTTTTTTTTATGTCTCAATAATACTGCATTGTACAGACAGATATTATTTAATTTGTCCGTTCATCAGTTCCTGGACATTTGGATTCTTTCTACTTTGGGCCATTATGAATAATGGTCCTATTTAATTATTGTAGGTATATACCTAGAAGTGGAATTTCTGGGTAATATGATGACCTTGTGTTTGATTTTTTTGGTTAGTTTTTTTGGCCACACCACATGGCATACAGGATCTTAGTTCCCCAACCAGGGAGCAAATCCATTCTCCTTGCAGTGGCAGTTTGGAGTCTTAACCACTGGACAGCAGGGAAGTCCCTGTGTGTGATTTTTGAGGAACTGTCAAACAGTATCCTAATACAGTCATAACTATATTATAATTGTTTTCCCTTCACAATATATCATGCTTGCCTTTCCCTATTAAGAAACAGAGGTGCACATCACTAGTTTGAGTGAAAGCATAGCCTTAGCCGGCTGTACCAGAGTGTACTTAGAGAACGTCCCATGTATTGGACATATAATGATTCTACTAGACGGGCTTTGAGCACCTTCCTCTGTCCCTAGAGGGTGAGGGCACTGGCACAGGTGTAGTCAGAGCACTCTACCTTGGTGCTTCCACATTGCATTGCATTCGACCTATCACCTCTCCCTGCCTCTGTCTTATCTATTACATGTTGACTCCTGCAGGAGATGGACCATGTTTTATCTTTGTATCCATAGCACTTAGCATAGTGCCAGGCATTTGGTAAATGTTTGGAGAATGAATGAATGAAATAGTGAATAAATGGAAGGAAGGATGGATGGATGGATGAATAATTAGAACCAAAGAAATGGAGAGATGGAGTCCCTTTATTGTAAATAAGACATTCTCTCCCAAGATCTCTGCCTGGATAGGTAATTAGTTCCCTGACCATGGAACTCCGAAATTGAAGCCAAAGGAAATGAAGAGCTTTGCCCTTAAATTCTCTGGGGCTAGGAGTTGCTCTGAAAGCTTTCCAGTTTTTCTGAGGACCCCAGATCAAAAACTCACCTTATCTGAAGGCCTCTTGTCTGCTTGCGCCTGCCCTGGGAAGATCACAGAGCAGTAAGATTAGAGTCCAGGAAATGAGAAGCATTTAGGAAACAAGTTATTTATAGAAGCTGCAGCTACCTGCAATTGGAGAGTTAAGTCTGGGTTCTTGATTTCAGAGATGGTAAACTGGGTGGGCGTGGCTCACACACTCCAACCACTTATAAGCAAGGGAGGAGAGATTTGCTTGTTATTGAGCAGCTGGGGCTGGAGCTTGTGGAGGGAGCTGGGGGTGGCAGCTGGGAGCAGCACTGAAACAGCACCTGTGAGCAGCGCAGACACCTGAAGGGACGGGAGCGGCTCTTTTTCCAGGATGTGGCTCTTAGCTCTGGTCCTGACTTCCCTCGGCTCCTTCACAGCTTGGGGTGAGTCCTCCTGAAATGCAGATAGCAGGAGCACCTTTGGAAATCCTTGTAGGGGACAAGAATGGGCACAGGGCAAGGCATGACAGGCCGGGTTCTGCAACAGCACGCTCTCTGTGAACTTGGACGGTGTAGCCCAGCCGGTGCCCCAAGGCAGGAGACACAGGGGACCATGCCCACCCTAGACTCAGCTCGGCACGGCCACACCAGAGGAGGAAACTCAGCTCCCCTCCCACATCCCGCTGAGGACTTTGGCGAGCTCCTCCATGTCTTTCCCTCTTGATTATTAATATGGATATGGAGTGGGTCGTTACCAGAATCTTGCAACAGATCTCTGTTATTGTTGTTTAGTAGCTAACTCATGTCCAACTCTTTTGCAATCCCATGGACTGTTGCCTACCAGGCTCTCCGTCCATGAAATTTTCCAGGCAAGAATCCTGGAGTGGGTTGCCATTTCCTACTCCAGGGGATCTTCCCGACCCAGGGATCGAACCTGTGTCTATTGGCAGGTGTATTCTTTACCACTGAGCCACTTGGGAAGCCCTGAAGGGATCTTACCGGGATCTTAATACCAGCTCCGGAGACAGAGGTGTGGGTGCCCGTCCCGGCTCAGCACTTAGGGGCTGTGTGTTCTTACACAGGGGATGTCCCTTCTCTGTGCCTTGGTTTTGCATTTCAAAAATGGGGGTGATAACTCTACCTCCATGGACTGTTGTGAGGTGGAAATGGGCTGTTTATTCTAAAGAGTGCCTGAAGTAGAGAAAGTGAAAAAAGAGGTAAAGGAGTTATTTTCAAAGACACTGTATTACTGCTACATTAAAATGGTTAACTAACAAGGACTGACTGTATACCACATGGAACTCTGCTCAATGTTATGTGCCAGGCTGGATGGGAAGGGAGTTTGGAGGAGAATGGATATATGTATATGTATGGCTGAGTGCCTTCGCTGTTCACTGAAACTATCACAACATTGTTAATCAGCTATATCCAAATACAAAATTAAAAGTTTAAAGCTTAAAAAAAAGATATGTATTAATAGACTATTAGGGTATTCTAAGGCCCACAGATCAGGAGCCAACTGCCTTTTGAAAAGATGGTTTATGACTCACATTTTCATGGAGGAGAGAGCACGGTCCTACCATGGTGTGCCAGGTGGTGAAGACCGGGGTGGGTCACGAGGGAAGAACAGAAATTGGGAGTAAGGGTATTTATCTTGGTCGCTGATAGGGAAGGAAGAGGTGAGGCAGGATAAATAGGTTTGGGAGTGGCAAAGTAGACAATTTCAGCAGGTTGGGGGATGCACCCAGTTTTCAGTTACTTTGTCCTAGAGTGGTTGGGGCAGGATGATAGTGGCCAATGTGGAGGACCTGATAAATAAGGAGTTTGGGGTACAGGCTCTGGCATGCTGGAAGGGGAAGTTCATTCCTGTCTCCAGGGATTGGCTAACTCTGAGAGGGGCAGTCCCCCCAGAATCAGCAAGGCTCCAGCTGTCAACGCATCAGAATACGGGACATAGAGGACATGGTTAATACAAGGGTGCAGCAAGGGACCTCAGAATGCATCTGTACCATTTTATAGATGGCAAAACTGAGCCTCAGAGAGGGAGTTCTACATGCCCCAAATCAGCTGGAACATCACGCTCTGAATTCTGTCTCCTGAGTCCAGAGCCAGTGCTCTGGCCATCAGTGCTCTGACAGCCCAGGCTGCGCTGGGTTTATCTTCCTCCTGGTGCTGTGACACTGTGAGACGCCTGGAACTGAGGGGAAGAGCAGTTATGTGTTAGCCACTCAGTCATGTCTGACTTGTTGTGACCCTGTGGACTCTAGCCCACCAGGTTCCTCGGTCTAGGCAAGAACACAGGAGTGGGTGGCCATTTCCTTCTCCAGGGGATCTTCCCAACCTAGGGATTAAACTCAGGTTTCCTGCATTGCAGGCAGATTCTTTACCATCTGAGCCACCAGGGGAGCCCTAATTAGAAGCTGATTATCCCCTTACTGCTAGTTACCCCCTGGAAGGGTCATACCTTTTCCACCTTTAGAAAATCCATACTAGCTGCCTCCATTTCCTCAGTTACCTCATCTATAAGAGGACATATAGATGTCTCCCTAGCCAGGCTTTTCTGATTAGAGTGCCCACGTGGTATATAGTAAGTGCTCAATATGCAAACATTACCTGTAACACAAACAGTAACCGCTGCAGTCACCATCATTGCCTATACCTCACAGCCCATCACCCACTTTTTCACTCTTGCCAACTGGGCATCTGTCCATGTCATGTCTCTCGAAGGCTGTCATTGGATGTGTCTATAAGACCAGATCTGGGTTATTCTTTGTTCTGGCCACATACTTTGAGGGAGAGGTTGACCTTTTGTCTATATCTAAAGGGGAACAATTGGAAGGGTGAGAGGCTGGAAATCATTTCCTGTAAGGATGCTTAAAGAAACTGCAGCTGTTGAGGATGGACCAGAGAGGACTTGAGGGTCGAGCATGAACGGGGGTTGCTAAGGCCACCTGCCTCATGAAGGATGTCCCCGAGCAGTGAGGACCGGGCCTGATGTGGCAACTGCAGGAGACGCATTTAAGCTCAGCGAGAAAAAAACCGCCTGCTCCACGAGAATGGGACAGATGGACTGTGACCCCGAGTCACCCTCCCTCTGATGACCCTGTGAGTTAGGAAAGACAGCTTCACCCTCTCTTACATAAGAAGCTGAGGCTTAGAGAGTTGAGAGGACATTCAAGATCATGTGGCAAAGTAACAAAAGTGCAAAAGTAACAAAATCCACCCAGAATCCAGTTCACTGTCACCACTGACGTATCCTCACTTCCTCCCAATGTCCAGCAGGGCTGCTGCCCTCACCGCCTATTGTGGACACCGCTCAGGGCAGAGTCCTGGGGAAACATGTCAGCTTAAAAGGATTTGCACAGCCTGTGGCCGTCTTCCTGGGAGTCCCTTTTGCCAAGCCTCCTCTTGGATCCTTGAGGTTTGCTCCGCCGCAGCCTGCAGAGCCATGGATCTTCGTGAAGAATACCACCTCTTACCCTCCCATGTAAGTCGGGGGTGTGGTTTTGGCATCTTTCAGTGGGGATGTTAGTCTCAAAGGGATGCAGGAAGGAGCCAAGGCAAACCTCTGAGTGACTCATACTTTGCTGTGAAATCCTCAAACTCTTGTAGATCCTTATCAACATTCCAGAACTCTCACAGCATTCTAGAGCCCTTTATTCAACTAGGTGTTTACATGCTGTGACTAAAAGGCCACATGAGCCAAGAAACATGCAGCCAAATAAATAATTTTTTGAAAAGTGATGATGGTAAGTAAAATTAAGGCAATGAAAATCATACACAATTCCAACACCTAGCAAGAGCTCCTGTTCATAGTTTAGATTCTATTTTTCTAGTCTTTTATCTGTTCCATAATTTCTCCCTTAAAGTGGAATCACATAATTTTCTGTACCCAATTCTAATGTATGTGTGTGTTTCCCACACCAAAAAGCAATTCTTGCAGACCATATGTGCGTCCAACAATTCAACTAACTTCTGACACTGTTTTGCCAGAGACAGCATCAGATTCCATCCGTGAAGGGCTCAGTCCCACAAAACCTCCCTCTACTTCAGATGCCAATTCCAAGCTGTCAACTCTGCTTCTGACCAACTGGCTATAATTCAGAGGTTCCCGTGACCCGCTTCCTGGGTTCTATTAATTTACCCGAGCGGCTCACAGAACTCAAGAAACTAATTTCCTCACTAGATTACCAGTTCATTATGAAGGATATTGAAGGATACAAACCAGTAGCCAGATGAAGAGATCCGTAATGTGAGGTCCCTGACAGAGGATCCAGCACGGTGGCCTCCCTGGTAGTCCAGTGGTTAAGAATCCGCCCTTCCACAGCAGAGGGTTCAATCCCTGGTCGAGGAAGTAAGATCCCACATGCCATGCAGTGTGAAAAATAAAAACAAGTTCTGGTTCACCAACTGGGTTGCTTTCTGAACCTGCCCTTTTGAGTTTTTACGGAGGTTTCGTTACATGGGCGTGAGTATTCATTGCTCAGTTGTGTCTGACTCCTTGCAACCCCTTGGACTATAGCCCACCAGGTCCTCTCTCCATGGAATTTTCCAGGCAAGAATACTGGAGTGGGTTGCCATTTCCTCTCCCAGGTAATCTTCCAGGTAGTCTCCTGTGTCTCCTGCATTGGCAGAAAGGTTGTTTACCTCCGAGCCACCGGGAAAACCATTACATGGGCAGGGGATTGAAATCATTGGCCCCTGGTGACTGATTCCCCTCCAGCCCATCTTCTCTTTCCAGAGCTCAGGGGGCTGTGACAGGAGGTTCCCTCGCTTTTAATCATGAGATTAATTCCTCTGGCAACCGAGTTCCCGCCCTTAGGTGTGGTCCCAAAGTCACTTCGCTAGCCCAGCAATATACACTGCTCAGGAAATTATGAATACAAGGGTTTCAAGAGCTCTTCAGCAGAAACTGGCCAAAGATCAAATACATACTTCTTACAAATACTTATTTTTCTTATATCACAGTATCATATTACACAGTACAGATAGTTTAGATGAAAGTAGTAGACGAAGTTCATGAAAAGTATATCATGAACAGCATTCTGTGTCATTAAATATCACAACCTGACATTTAATCACCATTTTATGTTGAGTATTGAATCATAATTTCTTTACTCCATCTCTTATTTGGAGTTCTTCATTGTTGTTGATATTTTTTATACTATAGATAGCACTCTGATGAACATCCTATAGCTAAATTTTCATGCATATTCATTTCTGGATAAATTCTAAGATATAACATTTTGGAGTAAGAGTATTTTTAAAATTTCCCTTCAGAAATATTCCAACTGCATTGTTTTAATTAATATATGAAAATCTCCATTAATTGAATTTTTGTCAATGCTTGGAGTTATTAAAATGGTTTTCATCTACTGAATAGGCAGAATAATGTTAATGATAATAATTGTTATCATCACCATTATATACAAAATTATTCTTTTTATTCTGTGTTTGTTTCAATACTACTGACATTGAGTATTTTTCCTTTTTAACTATTAATCTTCTATGAATATTATGCCCCTTGCCTAGGTGATTTGGGGAAAGTCCCCATGGGATGGAAATCAAGAGGTTATCTTTGAGGTTGATATTCTGTGACTGGACAGCTGTGTCATCCAAGCACATCAGCACCTCAGTTACCTCATCGACATACTGAGGGCAGTCATGCCTTTTTTTGTGGGGGCATTGAGATCCGGAAATGTGGCTTATAATATCCTTGAAAACATAAGCAGTACATCGTGTGATTCTTTCTAGCTGTGTGACCTTGGGCAGGTTCTCTAACTTCTCTGTGCCTCAGTTTATCAACTAAAATGAGGATAATAATAGAGCCTATATCATGGGGCCAATGTGAAGATTAAATGAGTTAATAAATAAGAAGTATTTAAAACAACAGTTGGCAAATTGAGAGGACTCGATAAGCATTAAACATTATAATATCTGTAGCATCTTTAGCATCTTTAAAGTCTCCTATTGGGACAACCAATAGCTCTTGCCTGTGATGAGTTGCTGACAAATATTAGCATGTCCGTGTTGCTAGATCCATTTAGAAATCACTCCCCTCACTTACATCAGACAGATTGGGACCCAGAGCAGGCAAGGCATTCACCCAAGGAAACCCAGCAAATCAGGCTGAGGCAGGACTAGAATATAGTTCTAATGCTGCCCCACAAATATTTGACCCCTGATCTGTTGTAGGCCCTAAATATCTGCCATTTCCTTGGTTTCCCCTCATTTCTGGAAGTCTCCTGTGAACTAGACCATGTTTCCCTGTGGGCAGAATATAGGCACTCTGCACCGGGCGTCATGCAGCACTGGTGTGGCCCCAGGGAAGCAGGAAATGGTCCTTTCTCACGC